TCGACCAGAGGTTCCTTGCTTAAGGTTGTGAGGTTGTACGAATTCCACATCCCAAGGGCCTATTTATACCTTTAGACTCCTTAAAGGTTTCACCCTAAACCCTAATTGGATAATCTTCTCTTAAGGCTATCCAAATCCATTCCATAGATAACCCTATGGACGATTTTGAGCTATCCTAAAGCTCTTAGAATCCGTCCAAGGTGTATCTTAATGGATTTATAGTCTAAAGTCTAACTATCAAACAATTGACAGTTTATACCCTCTTATTTAATTAATCTCTTTAAGTCACCAAATTAATACCAATTAATTTATGACTTATATTAATCAAATAGCTAAATATTATTCCTTATAATATTCACTCTCTCTTAATAAATCATCCTTCAAGTTGCTATGGTGAAGGCAACCCAAAAGGACCATGCACCACCGAATATAGTTATAGCCTTAGCACTATTCCAACAAGGGTATCATTAGGTTTTGGAAGAGGGGCAAGTTGGGGCCCTGATTTATTAGTTCGTTCAGGATTTTTCCCCAGTCAGCAGGGTTTCTTATCGACTGGATCTCCCGGATCAGTTAGGTCAGATCCATAACACCTTCCATGTGTCTCGGCTTCGGAAGTGTGTCACTGGCGAGACTTCAGTTATCTTCTTGGATGACATTCAGGTGGATGAGAGTCTGAATTATATCGTTGAGTTTTGGATAGGAAGACTAAGGTTCTTTGTAACAATGAGGTTAAGTTCGTGAACGTACAATGGTAGCACCAAAAGGGCTTCGAATGGACATGGGAGCCGGAGGATGAGATGCGAGAGCATTCGAGGACGAAGCCTATTCCAAGTGGGGGAGAGTTGTAACACTCCATATCATGTATTACCATTCGAATCCTTGAATTAATAAATAAAAGCAAAATGGTCCCTTAAGTACGTTGGGCGTACTCCAGGAGTACGCTTAGCGTACTAAGCATGGATGAATGCGGATGGTCAGCACGTACGCTGGCCATACTGAATGGTATGTGGGGAGTACGTGACCGACATGCAAACCCTAATTTTTGGACTTAAGACCTATATAAGCATCCTTATCTCAATTGAGCTTCACCCTAACCAGTCTCCTTCACCCTCAAACGTCCCTAAAACCCTAGAATCATTAGAGTGTGTGATCTTGAGCTTGTGAGTGCCTTAATACAATCTTATTGGGATGTTAGCTTCAAGGAATAAGAGGAAACAAGCTTGAATGAGGAATGGCTTCTGGGTCTTGCATTTGGATCAGCTTACAGAGCTTGAGGAGGTAAAAAGCTTTCTCCTTGGTCATCATTTTCATCTCTAGATCTAGGTTTTTCTCTATAGTCCCTTTTTGTGTTCATAGACCATCTCTTGAGAGTTTGAGCAACTCCATAGCTTAGGAAGAGTAGATCTGAGGTCCCGTGACTCATTTACACCATAAAAATGGAGTCTTGATGGGTGTTTTGACCTCATGTATAGATTAAGACTCTTGGAAAGGTCTTAATGGGTTGTTGGGAGCATATTGAACATGCAAAGTCATAAAGTTTCCAAGTTTATGCCTTATGATGTCTTAATGGACTCAGATCTAAAATTGGACATTGAAGTCCCATGCATTAAGCACTTAATGATCATTTTTACATGCCAGATTAGTACGTTGCACGTAGCAGCATATATGCAATGCGTACTGACTAAGACGCTAGTATGCTGAGCGTACTGGAGTGGTACGTCGAGCGTACGCACCCCACTGGGTTTTGGGCTTCGTATGGACTTGTAATCCCTTTGGTCCATCTTTAGACTTGGGCCTGGTCATATTTTTGGTTGGTAGTTCGATTAATCTGTTTTAGGACATGGGTGCTTGGTTGGGTGTGACATCCCCAAAATCTCGGCCAGAAAAGACCGATTTTCATTTATGCTTTTAAATATTTTCAGAGTAAATCCTTTTGATTTGAAAGAGTTGCGGAATTTGTTCCCAAAAACAAAACATGATAAAACGATGTTTACCAAAGCATTTCATAAAAGAAACGTATTTTCATTATAATCAAAACTCGGGGTGTCATGTTCCGATACAGACCAATAAGCATAAACGAATACATTACAAGTCATATAACAAATATAAACATATGCAGACTTGCAAACAAAACAACTTGATGGTTCGTCCATCTCATGCCCTTCCGCCACTTCCTGTAATACAATTAAAACTGAGTGGGTCAGGCTTGAGAGCCTGGTGAGCATATAGGGTTTTCAACCCACAATAAATAATTAAATTAATTATTATCAACCAAGAATAACCCAGTTACCCATTCCCGTTATTCTCACTTTACGTCCCTAAAATAGCTAACACAAGGGACCTAATCTAAGAATATTTTTCATCGGGGTGACAACACATGCTGCGGGGTTTCCTCAGCAATATAAGTCAAATAAGGCAACCATGAGGGGGATGGAATACAGCGAATGAACACCCAAGTTCATTAACACCTACAGGTTATGAGCCTGCTAGCGTTCCACTGAACTGTCTAGAAAAGTCCGTGGTCATCATCTAAATTCCGCTAGATGACTGGATCAAAACAACAACGAGGCCTCTCATCTGTTTATTACACACCAACTATCTACCCATGTTCTACCCAACATATTAGTAGATAAAAACATACATTTTTATACATATTTTCAAAACCTGTATAGCATGCTTGATCAATACATTTTCCATATAACAGATGAGGCACACACACATAACACGTATTTCATGTAGAAATAATCATATCTGTAAGATAGAAGAAAGTGAATATACATTCACACACATAACAACAAAATATACACATAACACGTATCTCGTATAAAATACTTCATAGTTATACGTTATGAGAAAGTAACAACGCATTCACATGTATAAACGACAATAAACTTAATACACTCGAACCATACTTGTATTATTATTGCGTTTATGAAAAGTAGTATACACTCACTTGATCAGAAGATGATCGGACAACACTACGACTCGCAAAAGTAAAAATCCTCCGCAGATCTGGAAGATCTCTACGAAAATCGAACTTCTCGCAGGCAGAGCTTCGGCTCGGAAACCGCACTTCTCGGGATCTTCGGGATCTCGGGACTCGCTTCGGGACTCGGGAATATTACCGGGGCTTCGGGATGGCTTCGGGGGGTAAAACCGCAGAGCTTCGACACAAAAACGAGAGGAAATTAGCAATTTGGCCGGCTGCCCTCGCATCCTATTTATAGGAGGCTGGGAGCCTCATTTACGCGGGGCGTACAGTAGTACGCAGCGCGTACTGCCTCCGAATTGCGTCATCGCATGCGTCATCCGAAGTGTCGACACTTTGGCTGTACGCAGGGCGTACTCGAGTACGCGGCGCGTACCACGGATCAGAGCTGTGACTCGTCTTCGGATAATGCTTCCGAATTTTCAATTAAAAATAAATACAAATTAATTAATAAACTTCAGAAATTCATATCTTCTTCATAAGAACTCCGTTTTCAACGTTCTTTATATCCACGGAAAGGTGAGACTACGCTCTACAACTTTCGTTTAGACTCCGTCGGCTAATTTTGACTTTATTTTTATTATTTATTTTTAATAGGCCGGGACAGAAACTTTCGTTATAAATTCATAACTTCTTCGTTTGACGTCCGTTCTCGCCTAACTTTTTATCGCTTTGATACTAACAACGAGATCTTCGATTCTCGTTTAGATCACTAAGGCTAAATATCTCTTTAACGTAAATTTCACTTTTTACGTTATTCAGCGTTGCCGGTTCTGTCGTAAAACTTCGACAGGTCATAACTTCCTCGTTATAACTCGGATTTCGGCGTTCTTTATATCTCCGGAAACCTTGTTTCAACTACTACAACATTATCTAAAGATATCAAATTTATTTTACACTTAAATTTTGACGTTTATTTTTATTCTTAATTAATCAAACCACATAATTAAGCAATTAAGCACAAATCACATAATACTCAAATAATACAATCTTATTATTTCAAAACGGGTTACAAAGGTTAACCTAGACCATTACATTGCTAAAAATGGCAAGCCTGGAAACACAGGCGTTACATTGGGCCTTATTGGGCCATATGGTCATTCATAATTTTAAAACATGGACTTTAGGTCCATTAGTAAGGGGGGACTTTTGGGCCATTGTGAAAGTACTTGGACTTGGGTAATTGGATTCTACAATTAGATTGTGTTTAACCCTAATTTAAGGTTAATGGTACTATTGTTCAGCGTGGGTGGTTTCAGACTGTTAGACTAGCAGCTTCAGGTTCAACGGACTAAGGTTAGTCTCCTCACCATACCAATGGGTCGAAGGCACCAAGGCCAACCCATTTTGTCCAATGTGGTACACTAGTTGATGTAGTGATATGTGGTACGCTAGTTGGTTATATGCTATGTGCTATGTTATTTTTTATGTGATATTTGCATGAAAGACCATGGAGGGAGCCGATGACACTTTGATGTAAAACCCTGTGGGGGAGCCAATGATACTTGGAAGTAAGACCATGTGGGGGAGCCCATGGATTTACAGGTAAAGACCATAGGAGAGCCCATTTCACATAAGTGTAAGACCTTGGGGGGGAGCCCACGACATCCAGGAGTAAGACCTTAGGAGGAGCCCGTGACATCCTTATATGTTTATATGCATGGCTTATATGATTGGTATGGATTATACGGTTATGTGGATTATATGGGGTATGCTCTGGGGAACTCACTAAGCATTAGCTTACCGTTTGTTGTTGTTTCAGGTACTTCAGGATCTAAGGGCAACGCCCCGACATGATGGTGCGGCGTGCACTATCTGGCGTTTTGTTTGGGGACACTCTGATTTTACGAATAATGTATTCGATGTTTTGGATTTAAAACAATTGTGGTTCGAATTTTATAACTTATGGAAATGGATTTCGTTATTTAAAAATGAAATTTTTTATTAAGATTTTGGGTTGTTACAAGTTCGGCAAGGAGACCCACTTTCCCTTTTTCTCTTTATCATTGAAATGGAAGGTCCTAACATGGATATGGAAGCGGCAAGAAAAAAAGTGATATTTATAGGAGTTCAAATCCCCAACGATGGTCCT